CTTAAGACACCCCCTGGTGTCGATTTTAGCCTCGTACTCCACAGGAAAACAAAAGTTTTTTAATCGGATGATGTCATATTGTTAGACAATTATTTATTCTTAAAATTACATAATACGTGGCATGGTTTAAAGTATATCACATGTACAGGGTGGTCCAAAAAATGGGACACTCGAATTTCAAAAATAAACATTGATTTTCTTGATGAAAACATGTCATATCATATACTGTACCAATGGATAGGGAATTTACTCATCTTTAATTTGGTATATCATAAGTTCAAATTTATTCGTTTAAACATTTGACACTCTTGTGGGATCTATTGCTATTGCTCTTGTTGGAAAATGTAATAATTCTAAAATGAGCTCATATCAGAATGGTCCAAAAACAACACAATTGGATCATGCTATATCAATGTCTGCGACAACCACATATTGAGAGAAGTAACAGAATTGGTTTATCATGCACCCCTTACATCCCTTACTAAGGATAGAATTGTTGAGAAATGAAATTCATTGTCTCAACAGCATATCAATGATGCTATTGACCAATTGATCAAAATGGTGGATATATTGAAGGTCTGTTTATGTAAATAAAGTTGACAATTAAACTTGGTTTTTGCAAGTTTTGGAAACCCCGTTTTGAAACGAAAATGACGTCATTTATATTATGGACGCTGGTTGACAGACATTTTAATAAATTTGAACTTATGCTATACCGAATTAAAGATGAGTAAATTCCCTATCCATTGGTATATAATATGACATATGTTTTCGTCAAGAAAATCAATATTTATTTTTGATATACGAGTGTCCCATTTTTTGGACCACCCTGTAGTTATTCTTTAAACCTTGTGTATTGTTTATTGGCACACCCTGTTGATCTGGTATAGCTCTGGGTTAAATATAATGTCTAAGTATTACATTTACACTGCAATATCATGCATTATTCAAAGATGCTTTTGAAATATTAATATGTTTTTTTATGTGGAAATGGAAATGCACACCTGGAAATGCCATTTTATTGGAGTCTACGGAAAGGTTGGATTATGCCTTTTTTCACGCCATGTTTCAATTAAATACAGTACAGGGTGTCAAAAAACAACGGCACCCCCTCTACAGCAAAAGGTCCTTTATGATACATATCGTGTCATACCTCATTTGAAAGATAATTTAATTTTGGAGTTACTCATAAAATTTCATTTAATACAACTTTATATTAAAAAAGCTACATTGTTTCAAAGTTTGCTACTTCGGTACTTTGTTTGCTGCTCTGTTACCGGTTAAAGGTCAAATCTTAAGAAAGTGGAATATGAAAGAATTAGCCCAGATTTCAACTACACTGAACATATGGGCTCAGTTCTGAAAAACAGGGTATAGGAATTGATGAAAAAAGAGCCTCTTTAAAAAAGATACAGTAAGGATGTAATTCGAAACAATGTGAGGAAAGTGCTAAGAGGATTATCCAATGCTACACCTTTATCTGAATTTTTATTGAAATCATATCCATCCAGATAAGCTGCTGTTCAAGCAGCAACTTTTGGTCATACCAACGACTAAGAATCAGCTGTAAATCTGTAAAATTATATGATATAAAGCTGATAGTTCTCAGGTAACTCCAGAATTAAATTGTCTTTAAAGTGAGATATGGCACACTATGTAACATTAAGTACCTTTTGCTGTAGAGGGGGGTGCCGTTGTTTTTTGACACCCTGTACATGGTGACCCAAAAACAGAACCCTCCATAAAAATGACATAATTTCTTTAATGCATATGTAATCATCTTCATTTTTCGTGAACAGAAACTACAATCTAAGAATGACAATGTGAGACCAAATTTGTCACATAACATTCAATATTTTTTCTTGTTATGACTATTTTAAAAATGTGCCCACTTTTGAAAGAAAATATTTTCATGTCAACAAAAACATCCTTGCTGCAAGGGTATTTTACAAGTATATTATTTTAGGCATAAATGAAGTCCTTTGAAGAAGGATGAACAAAAAGGTTACACATCGTTTGTTTAAACCCATTACATTCTTTAAGATTATTATTAAGCTGCATTTTGTGAGTATAGAGGTTTAGATTATTAATGAGGAAATGTCCCAGCAACCTTTAAGCCATCTTTAGGTATGGATATACCAAGTCTGAGTGATGTTTTTGGAACTGCGTTCAATGCAATCACACACAGTGCTTTCAGGTGTCCCCATACCACATTCTTAGAAACCTCCCTAGATAGGTGTAAGCCAATCACTTTCCAATTCAGGTGTTTAAAAGTTCTCTTTTCTTCCTCTTCCAACTCATTATTTAACATTAATATTGTCTTTGAAATCACATGACGTCATGCAATTGTCTTGACTGATCATTCTGCTGTCTTAATGATTTCTTAAGAATCCATCCAATGGATGAGCGTTTGAGGTGTTCTTGCTCAGAGGCCAGGAATTTCAGTCATCTTGTTTTTTTACTAGGTGTTTAACCATTGCTTATCTTTTCATTTTATAAATATTAAATGAGACTCTCATTTCATGTCTTCTTTGGAATTTCTTCCTGAACTTCTCAAAACATCTCAAGAAATGATTTTGTCTCAATGTTGATTTTCCGAAAATTGGACACATTCTAAGATCATCCATCATATCACAAATAATTAATTCTGTGTAACAAACTTGATATCAAAACCGGATCCATAGATTCTAGTTTATGCACATAAAAATTGGGTTGATAGGATAGGTATTTTAGAAATGATTTTACACTTTTAGTTCTTTTTGAGTCACCGATGATACGATGTCTTGTACCCTATATCACGGTTTAATCAAGTAAATCAGTAAATCAAGTATTTTGGTGATTTACACAAGTACCATACCTAAATGCTGTATATGAAATGTATTCGACAAATGCTAATTTTTGAGATACTATCGAAAAATAGGCCAATGCAACTTGAAGATGTCGTAAAAATAATATGTTTGCATTGTTTTTCTTTACAAAATGACGATACTGGATATATAAAGATAAATCAACAGCCTTCTTGGGACCATGACAAAAAAGAACATATTCGAATTCCAAGGAGGGAAGTGTATTGCCCAATCTCCGTCAATGGCATGATTGCACAGAAGTAAATTGTGGAGATGCACTTTGAAAATAGACATACGAGTACATATCCAGGATTGTCCCTTTCTAAACAATAATACGGTTTTAAAGTGAACTTTTCCATACTTATGGATGGCATGTATTGTGTTATTCATAGCGATGCATATCTACACCTGTACAGTAGCAATTTGCATGTTGTATTAAAACAGCTGCACGAAACACATATTTATAATACGTTTTTTAGTCAATAATACTGATTAAAATAGACTGAATAAAAGATTTTATAGGCAGGAATTATCTATAAAATTATAATCCATAATACTGTGAAAGTAAATTTAACAAGGCTTGGTTGAATTCCTAATTCGTTCAATCACTTTCATATAGTTATAGACACAAGTAATTATATCTTAATAATTTTCACGATCATGGTCAGATGTTGATGTACTCTAGTTAATTAATTATTAAGGGACGTTAGACAACAGATGTACACTTGGTGTAGGTAAGTGTATTTGATACATTCTATGTACCACAATTTGAGTCCTCATTACCACGCGGTCCTAACTTCGACCGTTAATTTGAATTTTTGACCTACCAGGTGCTTGAAACATCATATTGCACCGTTCTTCTTCAAACTTATACCATTAAAAGCAGAACAAAATTGCCTTTCTGTTGGTGCATTACTTTATTGTAAAGAGTCCCTCGTTCTAGCAGCGTTTTGGTCCCCAGCTGTTAGAAGGCCTTCTTATAGCTGGGGACCAAAATGGCGCTGGAAGAAGGGACTCTGTTGAAGAGAATTATGTACCATCAGAAAGGGATTTGTGTTAGGCTTTGAATGGAACAAGTTTGAAGAAAAACGGTGCAGTATGAGACTCGCAATCCTTGCTTTTCAAACATCCGGTAGATCAAAAATTCAAATTAACGGTCGAAGTTAGGACCGCGTGATTACGTTGCATTTTGTTTAACTTGTGCTGATTTTGACAATTGGTAAACGCTACATTCGTCAAACTTATATTCATCAACAATTTTTGAAGAAAGAAGTTGAGGGTTTTGAGTAAATAAAGTGATTATTGGAATATCTTTCGGATGATGTAAATAAAGATATATACCTTTTACAATGTTCATTAACACATAATGTTCTGTGGTCTAGAGGAGTTAGAATTTTGGCCAACGAGTCTGTTGTAACCATGTTTAAGGGAAATGATGACCTTATAATTCTTTGACACTATCAAATTGAAGAACATACTGGGAACATGTAAGCTCAAGTACCAACAGAGGAAAAACAGTATTACATACCAAGAAAATGAAACTTATTAAATGAGCCTCGCCATAGGAAAACCGATCTTACCACAAACATTTAAATTGTGCTACAGAGCCAAAAATGTGCCCAAGATTAAGAGGAAAATGTGCTAAAGTCAAAGCAGTCTTTTTGGTCTATACATGCAAGGAAAAATTGTTAAGACAAAAGCCATGACTCATTTGAAAGGTCTCTTTGTGCTTTTTAAGAAAAACAAAAAATCAAAACATTGAAAAAATCTGTGATAAGACCCCTTTTCCTGTGGCCTGGCTCAAATACATAACCAGTTACAAGAAAAATAAACCCCATTATCCCAAATTATGAAATAATGTGTAACGCCCCTTCAACAGAAAATCCCCTATTTAGGGTTCATTATTACAATCCAAAACGACAGTTGGAAGATCAATTGAGTCAACTGACATTTCATTAAAAAAAACATAAATCAATACAATAGAAAATGTAGAAAATTAGAAATATATTAACATAACGCATAATATATTATACAACCTTTATTGACATATTTTGTCATGACATAATTAAGTACATACTTTTCTGAGTATATCATAAAGTGTATTTAATAGGTTCCGGTTGTCGCACATTATATGCATTTGTTTAATGTGTAAATATACCATTATTACAGATATCAATATTATGCATAACTGGAAAAAATATCGAAAGAAAACAGTATTTTCTTTCGATACAGCAGTCTGTTAACATTTCAATTACGAAAAGATATGTCTCATATTTCTTATCTTACATATATCTTCTAGACAATAAACTGCAATAAATGAGTCTATCGGTACATAGAGGACAATCTAGTAACACAATAGTGAAGCCATTGAATAGGATGGATCTACATTCTTCGCAATTAGTAATGATATTCCGGTTGTGTTGTCTTGACATATTGTAGTAAGGTTATGGAGATATGGCAGACCGATAGAACACGGAGATAATTAAAAGAAGTTAGAATGGTGGCTATCTCTTTCACAGGTAAGTCGTTGCAATTATTTTTATAGCTCAGTTAATTTTTTATTTCAAATAAAACATTTCTTTTTCACACCAAAGTGGCACTAAGGATAAGATAGTGTACATTTTGAAACAATCATTTCGAAAATTACGACAATGTTTCTTTTAAAATCCTTATCTAAATATCTGAAAAAATAAGTTTGATATCTGAATGTGACCAAATATGGACGTTACTGAAGAAGCAGAAATGTCCAAATATTTTGTTTACCAAGTACCCAATAGTTTTACTGTTGTATTTCACTCGTATGTAACCATGATCAATGTAAAGATATTGTCCCTATTTTCGAGTTAAAAACTGGTACCTTTTACCTACCGAGGAAAATAAACACTTCAGGCTAGTGATCGTATAGAGTTGGCAACACTCTATATAGTAATTGCTGACAACTGAAAATATTTTATTCAACATATTATAATGGCTTCTATATGAATAACATGTCCCTTGTTGTTATGGTCCTGGTTTGTGTTAATGGAACTCGTATAGTGGGGAGGGGAACATCAGACATTGTTTCTTTTCACGTTAGATAATGATTTGGGATGGTTTGGGTTTGTTTTCCTTATAACTACAGTAGTACACACTCAGACGTTTTCTTTTCTCGCTGTTTTATGTACAAGCTTTAGTCATTTCCCTTTAGCACTTCCTGGATATATTATTTGGCACAAAGTTAGATAATGTAGTCTAGCGTTTAGAAAGACCATCGCTTTTGTTACATTGACGTAAGTCGTCAAAATAACATAAATTGATAATATAATTAAAAAAAACGGACTTTCGTCAACATAACCGAGGGGCTAAATATATTAATTGCAACTTCATTTACAAAACAAATTCCAAATCGACAAAACTTATTAAAGCTAGACTATATTTTCTAGCTTTGTGCCAAATTATAAAATGCAACTTGACTTATAAGTAGGTTTAAATCGAGAAAACAAAAAAACTCATAACCTGGAAGTTCATCCATTTTGTTACATTGACGTTCCGTCAAAGTAACTTGTTGTGGTACTGTGTTATTATCCCGTTCTATATTTATTATTTACATGCTATTACATGGATAGTGAATTAGCGTCGATAACTTTGCATTTATAAATTGCAATTTAAAACAATCGCTTAAATATTTTATATTATGCTATGATATATTAGTTCACAATATGCACTCATCAGACACTGGAGAGGTTAAGCTAACGCTGTTTTTCACAACGTAACCGTGAACGCAAAGTACAAAAATTAACAAAGGAATGTATCGAGCGCTCATAGTTTAATGCGCGCTTAGTCTACTTCAGATACTCTTTCAGCTTCAGAGTTTCGGGTTTAGAACGGGAGATTTGAATATTTGACGTTGGGTCAACGGGAACCATTTTACTCGTGTCTATTGAACACTATGCTGTCAATTTTGATTTCGATGTACAGTTGAATTCTTGCTGAACACGATGATGTATGTCATGCATGATTTAGCGCCAAAAATCTTACGAAACGAGCTCGTTTAAAATATGTATTAGAAAACCAGCTATAAAACCGCATCAATGACATACTATAGAATCATTACACGCTATGGTGTAGTCTAATGGCCTAGTCACATAGCCCGGCCGATGAGGTTACGATGAGCCAGCGATGCAATTTTCACCGAACTCGGCCGAACACCGGCCGAACATCCGTGGCGTTTGTTGCTTAAAACCGCTTCGGTGGTAGCTCGGTGAAATTTTAACTTCGGAGTTAAATTTCACCGGGCTCTCACCGAGCTCCCTCATCATGTCATCGCAGCCCCATCGTAACCACATCGGAAAACACGTCGGCCGGTGCACGGCCGAGTATCGGCCGGTGTCCCGTGCATCTGAGACAACCAGAGGACGAGGTTTTTTAACGGACAGCGGCCGAGCTCCGACCGAGCTCCGGCCGATGTGGGACAGAGCATCGGCCGGTCACTGTTCAAAGCCCGTTAACAACCCGGCCGGCGATCGCACGGTGTCCTGTTACCTGCTCGGGTACCGGCCGTATTCCTTCCGATGTCCGGTCGACCTCCGGCCGGTAGTTGCTGCCACATCGGCAGAAAAAACTACCATTTTGAGACAGACTCCGTACGGTCACCGGCCGGTGTTCGGTCGGTCGCCTGAAGATGTCCGGACGGAGTCCGTTCACGTCACCGAGCTCTGCTTCCGATGAGGAGAGCTCGGTGGCTCCAAAAAAATCCACCGAGCTCTACCGATGCCGGACATCGGCCGGGCTATGTGACTAGGCCATTAACAAACACTGGATTTGAACGGCTATTTAATAGGCTACATGAATTTGTATATGGTCGAGTGATACGTACAGGTTCAGTTTCGATTATAAATGCAAAGCTTAACCTCTCCACTATTAATGAGATGAGACCTAAATCTGCAGTAATGTAACACTCTCTGCCGTCATATTATATTACAATCTTAATAAAGACACTGGAATAATTTAACTTCTTAAAGTTGAAGAATTTCTAAATTAATTGGAAATCATCATTAGCGAACAGTTCTTAGGAATTCTCAAGTTTGCGGAAGTTGATTTGTTAATATCGTAAATCATAGTTTTGACAAGTGTTGCCATATCGAGAAAATTACCCATTAGTACATGATGAGGAAAGGTTATACAAAAGCTGATTATTGAGTATCACATCGACTTGAAACATCTGCTACACGGTCAACATTTGGCGCATATTATAATATAGCCGAACACATTGGTGTCACTCGTAATTTTACGAGTATTTGAGTTTCTCCACATTTTAATAATAGAGAGGATAAATAACCACGCATTTGTACTTGAAAGTTAGGACTTGAAAGTTAAACATGTAATATTATGACACATATCAGGCCCGTAGCCAGAGGGGGAGCTGGGGGAGCGGAAGCTCCCCCTTGCCAAAAATTCTTTCAAAACCATGCAGTTTTTCACCATTCTGAGAATTTTTCGCATGATTTTTAGCCAAAATTGTGAAAAAGTTCCCCCCTGGAAAAAAAGCTCCCCCTCCTGGTAAAAGCTGGTTACGGGCAAGCATATATATAACTATTCCATAGTTATCCGTGGTGAACGGACAACTCACCCCAAAGACAACTCATTTCTGGAAACTCAACCCCTAAACAACACATCCCCTAGACAACTCAACCCTCGAACAACTCATCCTTGGATATTTGTTAAGAGTTTGATATTATATCATCAATTCATATTTTATTTGATTTTTGATGTTTTTGCTATGAATATGATAGGTTTTAGCTTTTAAAATATAAATTATATATTACATCATGAACACAGTCTTTTCAAAGTGGATTCTGGATCCCGGGTTCTGGATATCAATTATCGTATTTTAGAGTTGCAATACAAGGTAATACTTTTACCATTGCATTTATCAGTCTTTTAATTATTAGATTTTGTTGTGTTGGAGACTAATTGCAATCAGATTGTATCATTTGTTTTCATATGATCATGAAATGTCACTTTGAATTGGACAATTGTATTAATGACCTCATAATTTTATGTATTTATATACAACTTATTTACAGCTATATGTTGCAATACGAAGTAATAATATAATATCGATAGATATTGAATATTGTAATAGTTTCTAAATTGCAATTTATAAAGATAACATACGAGGGGTGATCATTAATTTCTGGACAGTTGGCTCTATTTTGCCATTTTTTTATCCTTTCTTAATGATGTGATCCTATATATTTGGGTTATATTGTGTGAAAAAATCACTAAGAAAGAATAAAAAATGGCTAAAATAGAGCCAACGGTCCAGAAATTCCCGAGATTCAAGATCATGATGTTTCTAACGATTGATCATTGATAGATCTGATTCTGCCTTTAAGATGCAGTTTAATATATCATTTCCAGTAATACCTCATGTGGTAAAATAAGTTGTCCAGGGGATGAATTGTCCAGGTGATGAGTTGCCAGGAGATGTGTTACCAGGGGATGAGTTGTCCAGGGGATGAGTTGTCTAGGTGATGAGTTGCCAGGGGATGTGTTACTAGGGGATGAGTTGTCCAGGGGATGAGTTGTCTAGGTGATGAGTTGCCAGGGGATGTGTTACCAGGGGATGAGTTGTCTAGGGGCCCGGGTCTAGGGGACGAGTGCTTAGTTAACAATTCTATTGAATGTAAAGATGACGTAAGGGGATGATATATCGCCACGCGTATGTTTCATAATTCATGGTGTAATGCTTTTCATGACAGATTGGCTGTTTCTACTGATGACTGCTTGTATAGTGAGCTGTAAGAAGAAACCGGCCTACACGTACGTTGGCGATCACGCTTTCACCTTAGCTGATGAAAACTTCTGCCCCGGTACCCATGACTCCATCATCGATGACACAGAGGTTCGTTCGTTCGTTCGTTTGTTTGTTCATTTGTTTGTTTATCTAATTGTCCGTATCTCTTTGATCATCTTATCCAAATAGTATTTTGTTGAGAATAACAGTTATTATTGCAATGTGCATTGTTAAATAGTCTTATCGTTTTTGTTTTGAATTAAACAAGGCTGCACCTTTTGTAAATCGGGGTACTACTGTCATTTATCTAACACCAACATCTAAACAATTTAAAAGGCAACATTTCATCCACACAGTTACGGACAGAGATTGATATAAAATCTTCAAATGTTTAAACTAAGACTTTAACAATTCAATTCGGGTACAATGGAGACATAACCGTTCATGATAATGTATTTTTGTAGGTAGAATGGGACTTCGAAGACAGAGCCAACGTGACAAGGCCAACAGGTTTAGTTTTAGCTAACTCAACTATTCAAGGGGCAGGATTAGGTAAGTTCCAATTTTATCGAGCTTATTTCAATATGGCCATTTACACACTTCAATATGTTATTTTTTCGTTAAAAGTGGGCCAGTGCCTAATTCTGATACTGAAATAAATGCTTGTTACTTGTAATCAAATTGCTTGTTACTTGTAATCAAATTGCTTGTTACTTGTAATCCAATTGCTTGTTACTTGTAATCAAATTGCTTGTTTTATTTCATCACGAGAAATGTGTACATATAGTTTACACGTAGCATTCTGATATTTGAGCCTCAACATAGGAAATTGTGCTACAGAGCCGAAAATGTGCCCAAAATTAAGAAGAAATGTGCTAAATTCAAATCCGCCTTTTTGGTTTATATCTACAAGGACAAATTGTAAAGACATAAGCCATGGCTCAATTGAAAGGTCTCTTTGTGCTATTCAAAAAAAAAAAATCAGAATATTGAAAAAATTTGCGATAAGACCCCTTTTCCTGTGTCCTATTTATATATACATGTACCACATATATATACTCTACTTTCTTGTATTGCATTTTTGTATTTCTAAAGGTATCTTTACGACATATACAATTCCTGCTGGGGTCTGGTTTGGCCCATATGAGGGTGAGGTCATTTACGACGAATATCAACTACACTACAACGCGGACTATGCATTCCAGGTAAACCATTATGCATTACACCTGAACTTATTTGGCTTAATCAAAATACTGACACAATGCTGCAGATGATATGATTTATGTAATTTTATCTGCGTCTTTTGCCAATGGTTTCTAAAGGTTACTTACGACTTTCTATCAAATGTTTGTACATGTATTTGTGGTGAAAATTACACATTCCTTTGTATTTACAATTCCACTGCCTTAACAATAGATAGGTTATGGCATTTTCATTTTTCTTCTTTCATAAGTTTTGGGCAATGTTTCAGTGTTTTGAGTATTTGAAGCAACATAGATCATATAGTGCAGATGCATACGTAGTAAGCAATACTGGCCGATGCCGTAGTAGGTTGCTAGTTGAAAATTTGGAGAGGCAAATGTACATAGGGGAGACAAATGTAAATTGGGGAGACTAATGTAAATAGGGGAGGCAAATGTTAATTGGAGAGACTAATGTAAATAGGGGAGGCAAATGTAGATTGGGGTGGCAAATGTAAATTGGGGAGGCAAATGTAAATGGGGGAGGCAAATGTAAATTGGGGAGGCAAATGTAAATAGGGGAGGCAAATGTAAATTGGGGAGGCAAATGTAGAAGACGGTAGAAGACTAATGCAAGAAACAATATTGTTGCACCCTTTGTGTTTATTAGCTCAGTAAATTCCATCTTATTGTAAATAAGAGATTTTATTATCTTATGCGAGGATTTCCTTGCATAACATGTACAATATGTTTTCTTTGCACATATATAAAATGCTAATAAATTAACCGCCACAAACATCTATTTTGTTACCATTTGTTATGCAACAAGCAAGTAACTTACAGCTAAATGAGCATATGAATCATAAATAGAGTTATCCGGGAAATCTAAAGCTAGCAAAATAAAGATATAACCGATGTCAATACACAGATTATGTTTGAAATATTCAAAATGTACAATGATAAATGTTAGTAAAATGTCATTGTATATGGCTTTTATATTAGATATATGTGAAAGCGACATGGGTGGATTACTTTCGCTTCAATTGCTGTTATACATGATTGAGCAAGATACGGTACAAGACACGTTTAATTATGGATTTAAGCCTTGGACTCGGTGCATTGTTTGCTGAATCATACCATGAAGGTGCTGTTTCCAAACCTTTGCGTGATTTAGGAAACAACGCCTGAGTGGAATGAAGCAGCTACAATGCATTGCGTCTTGTGCTAAAATTCTTTACACACATTGCAATTTTTTCTACAAATCATACAAAGGGAACGAAATCACTAAAATAACACATTTTCAATGAATTTTTTGCAAGGGTCAAAAGGCAAGTCATCAAATCCAATGTGAAAATCCATTCACCACCATGACAACTGTTTAACTAGTGACCTTGCATGTGTTATTGATATTTCACACACTGTTCATTATGTGAAATACTATGGATTGGCTGGAATCGGACACACCTTGCCCAGCTGAATATGATATAATACAATCAACTAGTTGTAAATAGTGAAAAGAGGAGCTTCGTATTGATGAAGAATAAATTCCTATTATTTTAAAAACGAAGAATAAATCACATTTGTCCTGAAAACGAAAACTAGAACACATATTGGCTCTGATGGCATTTTCTTGATAGGGACAAATGCCTCAATATTGCTAAAAGGCCAAATATGGTCTTAAGGAGATATTTACTTGTTACGTTGATGTATTAGACGCCCTAGTAATTTCCTTAAAGACTTATTTTGCTCTTATTTTATTACAAATCATAATGTTCTCGATCATAATAGCAGATTAATAGACAAGTTTCATATTTTCAGAACAAATTATCTCAAAAGGAGCTTCTTAATTCACAGTGCGTTAAATCATCTTAAATCTACGTCCATGAAAACGACGACCAATGATTCTGAAAATAAAATACAAAGGAAATATTACAAAACAATGATAATATATCGCTGTGTTTATTCTTTACTTTCACCACCGGTAATGCTGGATTAATCTATCGAATAAATCATATGTAAGGCCATAAGAAGTAGATACTTTGTTTTATGTCCTGGCAGACTCCTTATATTGCTATGATGGTACAAGGAGAGCAAAAACAAACACTTGTTACGCGGTAAACATGATACAAAAAATATGTCATATTCCGCAACGAATATGGCATATTCACTTGCGGTGTATGACAGATTCATATGCCATATACAATATGCCATATACCGCAGGTGAGTACGGCATATTCACCCGTATCACAAATACCGCGCAACCATGAATGTATGCCATATACCGCGTAACAACACTCATAAAAACATAAACTTCTTTGAGAGAAAATGTATACAAAATGAGCAAAATGGAGCCTCTAAGTGCGTTCCTTTGTGATTTTTAAATTACCTCGTCTGCACTAAGGTTCCAATACACGGTTGGAAGCTAAGAGTTTCAGCTTTTAGAATCTAACCTCCATTGAATTTTTGCTGAATGCAAAATTAGATATTAACCCTTTCATCACCAAGGGGTAAAATTAAGAAATCAATCACACTTTTTCAATCAAAATATATTTTGACAATCGGTTTCTAACAAAGTTTTTGGTTTAGGCAATAAAACAGTATTTAATTATAATGTTTACACTTTGTGGTTATTATTATATTTTCTCTTTCAAATCACAACCCAGTTATCCACGAAGAAATTCATATTCATATCAAACAGGTGAATATATTTCAATTACATAAAAAACTATATTTGTGTCACTCTCCATGATCAGCTGTGTGACTTTGCTTCTCTCCTTAGTTTTTATTAGGGTGTGAGAGCAGTCGTATGTGAAAATATATGGTTTCAGAATGCATATGGACTGTTATGTCTATGTCTATTCATTGGAATCACTCCATATTTTAATGTGATTTTAATCCGCGAATTGTTATTTGCCATCATATTTGGATATATTTTTCTAATTTTTGCAACATCATACAGGCAAAGGGACGTAAAACGAAAGATCTACTTTTATTGGCCTAAGGTGTATTAAAAATTCTACAGATTATAAGATCGCCACGCCATTATATTGAATGTCACGGTGACGGTCACTTGGAGGTATCGTAATACAAAGACACCGTGTTTTTGAAACAAGATGACCCGCCTCCATTAAAACCGATTTCAGACAATTCTCTCCATAATCGTGTACGTTAACAATAAGCGTATAATCTCTGGTTTGAAAAAATCGCATCGTATTTATCTTGCATCATCACTAAGCAAGATTTTTACAGTTATAGTTCCTCGATTTTGACACAAAGACACTGTGTGTTTTTTCAATAATACAGAGGCACTACTAAAGTTGGGAATATACAGTAAATAATGACTGCATGAAAAAGACATTATGTCGTACATGCAATAAATTCTTACCTCAGTGAATCGAGTGTTTCTTCCATCTGGAAAGTACAAATATAGTGAAATCTTTGTCGGTAATGACAATTATGACATTATGCAGCATGACACGTGGCAGCTTTCAAAATGCAGTTGTGCCATTTTGAAACCTGTCACTTGTAAATAAGGTTATTTGATGTTGCATTCTGGGAGCCAGTCCTCCTTGGATCACGACAATGGCGATCCATGAAAACATTCGCTCAATTTTTTATCCATCATTTGCAGGCATGTAGCCTTGGATTCATTTACTGAGCTACTCAGAGTGAACGGGAATTATTTTCCTACCGTTTGGTAGAGTCTGAGACATCAATCTTAGAATATAGCTCATTGTGACAACTTTTGATGGGTGAGGTTTATTAATGTTTTCCAGTTTAATTCATGGCATACTGTTAAACCACAGCATGGCCCTTCGAAGACGATCGGAATTATTAAATTGTTTCGATTGGGACCAGTTGAGATACATTCATGCAACAGAATGATTTGAGTTTCATCTAAGAAATGAGTTTAAATCGAGAAAAAATATCTTACTTGAATTTGTTACCTGAAGGTAGGCCATTTAGTTACAAAGACACGCTGTCTTTGTAAAGCGATATCTCCAAGTGACAGCGATATAACTATCACTTGGTCATTTTCTATGTCATATACTGTACATGTGATTGTCTACGATTACTGACGATATGGCACTGCCTGGCCTTTTAATAAAACGTTTATGTCATGCCAATGAGAAGGTTACTATCATTTGATTTGATCAAATCACAGGCTGGTATCGAAAAATTTGTCCGCTGTGACGGAGCGTGCTATTTTGCATAGAAACGCTAAGAAACCCAGACAATTTATTTTTTCACTCATATGTTTCGCTATTCCAAAGAAAATGTCTTACTCCATGCAATGGGTATATCATTTGCGGGTAACTTTAACTTTTGTTTGAAGTCCAACAACGCTAAGAGTAAAAGCTATTGAAAACGGCGCCGGGGTATCATACTCCAAAATGTACCATTTCTTTAATTTCTTTTTAATGGTACAATATAGTGATACGATAATATTTACATGTGTTTTCAGCATAACTCTGAAGGTATTAATGATATCTTGATGTATTGGGTATTTTTAATATTTTTTATAAAAAATAATGTTTACATTTTTTGTCAGCTGTGACGGAGCAGCTTTAACTGTGAACTACGTTAAGAATTTAAGATTCAAATTATATCTTTTAAAAGTACCCTTAGAAGAGAGAACGTCACAAATCACTTTCCTAAATTATGACAAGTAGCCTCTTGGAGATCTGGGGTAATGTAAATCCGAGATATAAAAACGACCACGGAGGTTTGTACTGAAATCAACATGAATCAACATGGTGTAAACTCAACATAATATTTCTAATACGTTTTCGCCAAGACGTCTTGAAATGTCACGTGTAGTGGGAATAGGGCTAATATGAATTTATTCGAAATAGCGCACAGACATCATGCATTCTGACAGATGTATAACCTTTTACCACATAATGTTACTGTATATAAGATGATCCCAATACAGATTTAATTTGTAATTATTTGAAATTCATCGTTTTGCATAGACTAAAATTATAAAAAAAGTCTTGGTAAACGTGTTGCACTGTAAAACC